TGTGAGTGGGCAAGTTCAATTACACTAGGGCTGTAGTAAAAGGTGATTTCTAAATTGTCTCGCAAAAACAGAATCCTAATTCATCCTTGGAAGAACCTGAAATCTGTGCTTCGAAAAAGAAAAAGAATTCGACGTTATCTTTTATACGCTGGCGCCCTCTACCGTATAGGTGAAGCATCTGTCAGTGTTTACTGCTCGAGCGAGGAGTCTTCGAGCGGAGTGCTTCTGACGGTCGGCCATCCTCAGGCGACGACGACCACGACCACTACGATCATCATCACCGCTGCCTCAGCTTCAGCTTCTGCTTCTGCTGATCTCGCCCTGAAGACTGCTGCACTGCGCTTCTTCTTCTCCTTCTTCGACTGCCTGCTGCCAGACGGCCACTGGACACCGACAGACAGCGCACAGAGAGGACAGCAGCCTCTCTCTCTCTCTCTCTCTCTCTCGAGGACTGGGCTGTGTGGCGCAACGAAGGCAGCTTCAGCAGAGCGTCGAGCAATTCGAGCAGCCAACTATCCACCGCCACCACCACCACCACTACAACCACCACAACCACCACCGAGTGTCTTCATGCGAGTCAGCAAAGTAATCGTCACCACCGGATCACCATGGAGCACTACCAGCGCCGTACTAAGAGTCTCACCAGACGTGGATGTCATCTTTGACTACTCGGAGATGTCCTCTTCTAAAGGGCCCTCGTCTCAAACAAAACATTCCTCTGCGTTGCTTAGCCAATTCCAGTGACACATTCCGCGTCATCTCTTTTCTTACATTTCCTGCATGCTCTACTCTGCGACAATCTACGACCATTGCCAGTTCATCCGCCACTTGTGATTGCATTACTCTTTCCATTGCCCACTTTCGCATCAACAACTCAAAATAAACACCAGAAAAAGCAGCTTGCGACTGTCAGCAGCATCTGCACACTGTTGGGCATTGCCCAGCACAGACGATTGCCACCACGCACAATGAAGTGTACCAAGTGCGACGAAGAGATTGACGAAGATGAAGACAACATTGTCGAGGCAGTCATCAGCTCCATACAAAGGTTCTGCCACCTTCACTGTTTCCGGTAAGTCTTCCTAGGGCTCCTTCTGTTTTGCTATGAACTTTGCTTGAAATGAACTTGTTTTGGGTGAGGACGCTGACACTTGTGTGTAGGCAGAAGCCTCCCTATCTCTTTCTCTCCCTCACCTCTCTTCAGTCAGTGTTAATAAATTGATCTTTGACCTCTCTCTCTCTTTCTCTCATCTTCATCAGTCTTTACAGTGGCAATTTTTCATTTAATATTTCTACTGACAGCGTCTTCAGGAATCGCTTGCTTGCTTTCTGCCATTGCTCAACGTTGTGTGTCGCCGGGTATAACTCACACACGCACATAATTTCCATTGCCATTAACGCTACATTCAGCTGCTGCAGCTTCGCATCACTCATAAACACGGACGCCTTATCGGGCAAATCGGGCAGTCAGCTTCTGCCACCACACCACCACCACCACTACTTTGTGATCACCATTAATAAGCCGACGCCAGTCTTCGCGCAGTTGTGCGCCTTACTCTTCAGAACGCTCGCTGCTGTCCTTATGTGAAATATGTCGACGGCAGTTATGTTGCTGCATTATCAATTAGGATTTACACTTTTTGTTACTACACTGGTGGTGGTGGTGATCTGTCTTCCTTAGTGGAGCAGCAGCAGCACTGGCTCTGTTGATTTATTGACTAATTGTGCTGCAACAAGTGGTGCACTGGTAGTACTCTGCTAATGCCGCACATGTAACGTCATCGTTCACCTGCTAAACTAAGCTAATGTCTTACTTCTGGTACCGGACTAGGTCCAGGTAGGGAGGTAGTGAAGACGCAGAATGATCAATCCACTTGGTTGAACAAGCTTTGTCTTTCTTTATTGCCACCTGTCGCTTCGCTTGCCTATGTGTCACAATTTTCCGCCTGCACGTACGCTTAATAATTAATTAGCGGCAGATGAGTGCCGTGTAATTAATTGCCAAATTGCACCTGTGTGTGCGTACAGTGAGTGCGTTTTGCAAGGTCTGGCTGATATCATGATCTGATCATGCGTTCCCGCAGTGCTCTTGCCTCTGAATGCTCTCATGCCACCAGCTAGGGCTGCAAGGAGAGCGAGAGAATATGATGATGTCACCTAGAGCTCAATGGTCAATATTTGCCTTTTGTTTACTATTTTGAGCCCTGCTTATCCTTTCTAACTTATTCTTTCTGTTTACCCACCACAGGTGCAGCATATGCGCTGACCAGCTGAGCGGCTGGTACTTCGAGAAGAATGGCGAGCTCTACTGTCGCAAGGACTACTACCACCGCTTTGGCGAGCGCTGTCGCCACTGTCAGTCTGTGATGTCGGGACCGGTGATGGTGGTGCACCCGGGCGTCGGCGAGGTCAAATTTCACCCTGAATGCTTCAAATGCACATCCTGTAGCTCCATCATTGGCGACGATGAGTCCTACGCGTACGTCGAGCAGAGTCAGCTGTACTGCAACGGGTGCTTCTGTCCTGACGCCGACGGCACCGCCACCACCAAGGGAACCGTCTTTGACGAACATTCTGGTCATCATCATCACCACCACCACCACCACCATCACCACCAATCAGCTGATGCGGCTGAGCAGACGGCCTTGCTCGACAGCAAAGATAGCGGCCGGCGAAAGGATCAGCTGCCACCTCGGCCTGACGGCCTGCCTCGGTGCTACACCATCGCCGCCAGCAGTGCAAAGGAGTCCACCGTCGACAGGCAATCACTTTCCTCAAACAGTATTAGCAGTATGAAGAAGCTGAACGCTCTGAGGCCTAACTCTGCCACTGCCGCATCCATCGCTATCACCGCCACCACCGCCACTACTACCAGCACCACCACTGTGACTGAGGAGTGTGCTAGTGCAGGCAACGGTAGTGCTGACATTGTCAGCAATGGCGGCATCACCACCACAATGACCCCCAACTCTAAGTCAATTGGTAAGTTGAGAGAAGGAGAGTAGCTGAAAGAAAAGAGTGGTCTGACTCAGATTGTTTTGTTTGCTTGCAGAAAATAATCGCCTCAAGTCCCGGTCACTGGAGAAGAGACAGCGAAATCGCGAGCGATCATCATCGCTGTCGAGGCTGCTGGAGACGATTCGCCTGGGCTCCACCGAGTCGTCGTCGGCGTCACCGTCGACGACCTGCGACAAGGCAGTCAACGGCAGTGAGTGCAACGGTGGCCAGTCGACGTCCTCCACTCCCTCATCCTCTTCGCCCTACCACCCCGCAAGCACTCACCATCAGCTGACCATGTCACACTCTCAGTCCTCCTCATACTTTCCCACTCGGAATGGCCTTCAACTGGGCAGTCACTACCGAGACAAGGCGGCTAGCAATTCACTCTCACGCACCAAGAGCTTCCGCGTGGAGCCAAAGGCGTATCGCATCTTTCGCGCTGCAGATCTAGTCAAGGGCGCCCTCCTCGGTCGGGGCTTTTTCGGCGAGGTCTTCGAGGTCACCGACAAGGTGACCCAGGAGAAGATGGTGCTGAAGGAGCTGTACCACAACGATCGCGAGGCCGAGACCAACTTTGTCCGCGAGGTGTCCATTCTGAAGTCGCTGAGCCACAAGAACGTGCTCCAGTTTATTGGCATCCTCTATCGCGGAAAGAAGCTCAACATGATCACCGAGTACATCACCGGTGGTACGCTGCGGCAGCTCATTCAGGACGAGAGTCGACCAATCTGGTGGCCGGAGAGGCTCGTTTGGGCGCGTGACATTGCCTCGGGCGTCAACTACCTCCACTCGATGTCACTCATTCACAGGGATCTAAACTCGCAGAACTGTCTGGTGCGAGACGACGGCACAGTAGTGGTCGCTGACTTTGGTCTCTCCAAGATCACCTCAGTCAACGGGGTCAGTGGTGGCGGCGGTGGCAGCGGAGAGGAGAACCTGTCGACGACTGCCGCCGATTCACCCAACAACGACAACAATCAGCAGTTGAATGCGAGCCAGCTGGCAAAGATGAACCGCCGTCGTGATCGGCGAAAGCGCTACACAATAGTGGGCAATCCTTTCTGGATGGCCCCCGAGATGATGCACCGCAACAAGTACGACGAACGGGTGGACATTTACTCCTTTGGAATTATTCTGCTCGAGGTTTGCTTACCATTGCTCCTGATGAGATGAGAGATTTATCTAACCGGTCTTCTCCTTTACCCCTTTACCAGATCATTGGCTCAGTCAACGCCGATCCCGATGTGTTGAAGCGTAATCGAGACTTTAGCGTCGACAGGAAGCACTTTCTGGAGAACTACGTGAAAAAGTCCTGTCCAGAGATTTTTTGGCGCATCGCCTTTCTCTGCACTGAAATGAACCCAGACATGAGGTAAGGGAATCGATGTCTTTTTTGTTGAGCCATGCTACAAGAAATACTTTTTTGTCGCCTTCCTTGACCTGTCTCAGACCGCCGTTCAACGTACTCGAGCGCTGGTTTCAGCTTATTTGCAGTAGTCTGCACCACTGTCAGCACAGCCAACAGCAGAATGATGCAGCACCTGAACCCTTTTTAACTTTGGCGTCGGCAACTGCGACAGTCGACCAGCACAATCATCACCACAACCACCAACAGTGCCGTTTCAGTGGTCACATTCCAGAGGAGATTATCAATGAGGTGGCCAACTACAACAGCTGTAGTAGTAGTGGGCAGCAGCAGCTAACTAACGGTAGTCAGACGGCAGCGGCGGTTGCAGTTGCCACTCCCACGACGACGACAACCAGTAATTCCTCCCTACTTAGCGACACTGTTGCTTAGTTTTGTTCCTCGGTGTTCTTCTCCTTTTCTCGCGCCTATTGATCATCGATCTCAGCTCAGCTACCCTGCAGATGCTTTCCCCTCTTCTTCTGCTAAACTCCTACTTTCCTTACACTCGGCAATACACTCCTTTTTGTTGTTGACCTTATCTCCTTTATCATTCCCCAGAATACCGGACCATGATTCTTTTTTCCCAATTACCTTTCAGTGTTTTTTCCTATGCAATTATCTATTTTTGTATTTTAAATTTTTAAGAAAAAGTTTTTGGCATTTGACTTTTGTGTTGTTGAAGAGTTTGTTATCAACGTTGAACCTTTGACGAGTATTCAGTACTACTGATAACGTGGTACAAAAAATAATAAATAGTTTATTTTGATGATAAAATAAAAAACTTGGCAAAGTTGGCAGTGTAAAAAAGCAGTGTTAGAAGTAAATGACTCGAATGTTTCAAAGTTTAGGCTTAAACTTCAGAGTTGTTTAGCTCACGTCCACCACCACCACCGCCACCACCTCCAGGGCCGCCCCCTCTCCGCATACTGGAGCCATTCTTGGGCGTCGACTCGTACAGACTGAGATTGATGGTGTTGGTGGGGTTCCTCGAGTTACCTCCACCGCCCATCACCTGCTGGTGCTGCTGCTCATCATCGGAGTCGTTCTTGAAGGTGCTGTTGTGCATGCCGCTGCCCTGAGGCGGCGTCGGTGCCGGTCCCTTTGACGGTCGTTTGGTGTTCATGTCCAGCGTCGACCGTTGCCGGTTGTTGCGCACAAATTCATTCTTTGCTCCTAGTGTCTGCATGCCGGGATTGCCGTTGCCGCGGTAGCCACCGCCACCGCCATCCACCCCGCCATCAAAGAAGTTACCCATTCGAAGGTCCTTTCGGTGCTGCAGCGCGAGGAGGCGCTCTTTGGTGCGAGTGCCCAGAATTGGGGTTCCTGGAAAAAAAGAGATTAGCTTCGTGATAAAGAGCAATGTCTACTAGGACAGACCATCGTTAAGGTTGTTGGAAAAGTGCTGAAATCGCTTGCGGAAGGCCACATCCAGCGTGCCCACTTTGTTCTGCTTGTGCGCCCTTCGGTCGAGATTGTAGACGATCTTTCGCTTGTCCACTCGATTGCCGTACGGCGACTCCTCTGAGCTCTTGTCGTCCTCGTCCAGACCACGCAGTCGTTGCAGCTGTCGGGCAATCTGAATGGCGTTCTTGTCGATAAAGTCATCGCCGCTGACGTCGTCGTCTTTCTTATTGGTGCTTAGCTCCACCGAAGCTGAAAGAGAATAAAAGAGGGAGTTTTTGTATGTTTACTCTTTAAAACAAAACCGTCAGCTCTTACCGAGAATGTGCGACAGCGTGGCGAAACGATGGAACATCATGCCGACGAACTGTATGATCAGGATGGAGCCAAAGAAGAGAACAAAGACCAGGCCGATGGGCTCCAGCTCGAGGTACTCCTTGTCGACGATGTACTCGTTCGTCTCTGGGTTGATGGTGATGTTCTCGCGGACGCCCAGCGGCCAGTCAATGTGCAGTATCTCCTTGTTCAGCTGCAGCAGAAAGACGGACAGAATGAAGAGAGCGTTGATCATGAAGAAGCCGAAGAAGACGCGATTGCGCAGCTCCTTCAGGTCAGAGGCGACGCGCGCCTGCTGTGACTTGTCGTTGTCAATCGGGTAGAGGTACTTCTCGATGAGGTCCTTCCAGAACTGCACCTCGGCCGGGTGGAGGTAGGCCACCTCGCCGTTCTTCAGCTCCTTGTCCTCGATCCAGTACGGGTTGAGCAGGTCGTCCCGTTCGTGCCGCACGTGGTGGTCATCGTCGTCCAGCTTCAGCGAGCTCCCATCCAGTGAGCGATCACTCCTGGAGCAGTCATCCTCGTCCAGCGTCTTTCCATCGGCGCTCTCACTGGCGTGCCGAAAGTGCTGTCTCCGGTGGCCGTGGCTCTCGCCCAGCAGCGAGGCGCTCTCCTCCTCATCGGTGAAGCACTCATTGACGGTGCTTAGCGCCGCACGACTGCCTGCGTTCTGCTTGCTCTTCTGGTGGTGGTGGTGGTCGACCACTTTCTCGACTCGCTCCAGTTTGCTGTTGATCGTCTCCAGCTGGTCCTGAATCTTCATCAGGTGAATCGCCTCTTCGTTGGGTTTCGGATACGTGAAGAGCTGACACTTGAAGAGATTGGCCAGCGAGAAGGTGATGCTGCCCTCCTCCTGCGCACCCTCGCCCATGTTCAAAAATCCGAGCAGACTCTTCTTCTTCATCTCCTCGGCTGCCTTCTTCTCCTCCTCCAGCTCCTTTTTGGTCTTCTTGGACTGCACCTCGCGGGTGCCCCAGGTGACCACGTTGAGGTTGATCAGCGAGTAGATGATCAGCAGGAGGTACATGCAGGGAATGCTGAGGAAGTACAGCAACAACGGCCCCAAGCAGCTCAGCTCCTGTGGGTGGAGCAGTCCGGCGACGATGAAGCTGCCGGTGAGGGAGAGGAAGAAGATGGCAGAGGGAGAGCCCAGGCCGTCCTCGGTCATCTGGATCGCCTGGCCGACAAAGACGGCCATCATCAGGAGGCAGTAGGCGGCGCTGAGCACCTGCGCCACAAAGATCTGAATGTCATTCTTGGCGACGAAGCAGATGAGGATGAAGAAGAGAATGGGCACAATGTTCATGATGAAGGAGTCCCAGTTGGAGATGCGAAAGACGGCATTGACGGCGCCCACCAACATCAGGAAGATGGTGCCCGGTCCGAGGATGGTACCGACCATCAACATGCCCTGGTAGACGATGTAGGGAAAGGAGATGTTGTCGTTGACCTTCACCGTGCGCTTGTAGTCGCCCAGCAGGTCCATGATGTTCGCCATGGTGGAGGGCGCCCACCGGCGGCGCTGCGTGTAGAACTCGCCGAAGCCCTCCGGACAGTGCGTGTACGCGTCAGAGGCGGCGGAGTACTCGACGCGGTAGCCGCGCTGCAGCAGCAGCGTGCACAGCCACCGATCCTCGCCCTGATCGTACTGGACGTAGTGCAGCGCCTCGTCCGACTTGGTCGTGTACTTCATCATCACATTGTCGTCCATCAGCGCCTTGGCGCGAAACAGCGAAAAGCAGCCGGGCGAACAGAGGACGCAGCCGATCATGTGCTC